ATATTTTTCAAGATAAAGCTCTCCAGCTATCTTGACTGTATTTGTGGGGTGTAGGAAAAAGGGAAAAGTCTATAATGGTCCCAAGGATTTTTGAATGACTAGATGGCAGAATCACCAGCAGAGAAGGAGAATTGGCAAGTTTCAAAGAGCTGCATGCAGGGAGCTTAGAAGTTCAGTTTGAGCATGTTGAGATTAGAAGATGTCCGAGTTTTCAAGTCTGATAATTTAAGGAAGTCATGTGGGCTGGAGATATATGGGTGTCTTTGGCATATGGTTGTCATTTAAAGGAATGATTCCAGAAGGGATCTACAGTGGCAGTCTACCTAGAGAGGTGTTTAAAGAAAGGGCCCTGAAACATTGCAGTGCTGTGAGACACAGGAGCATACTAGCCAGAAAAGGGTACTTGGAGGAACAAAACCAAGAGTACGGCATTTTATGAGCCTCATGAGATTTTTTCAGAAAAGAAGTAATGATCAGCTGGCTCAAATGTGGCAAACGGGTCAGGTGAGCGGAGGGGATTCTGTGCTGTGAGCATCGCCGGGCCTTGGAGACGATTTTCATTTGGGTGGCTGTTGACAGTGGCTTTGGTAGAATAAGCTAAATAAAGACTGGAGGGGAGGACTTGCAGGCAGAGATAATCAGTAACTCTTTTGAGACGCTTTATTGAAAAGGGAAGCTAAATGTGGGTGATTACTAGGGTGGATAACATTACAAACAATTTGAAATCCAGAATCCCTAATGTGGGGAGAGGAGAGTCCCCAACAAATCATTACAGGTCCTGTAGGCACAGTTGGACAGCAATAATAAGTAAGGATTATAGTAAAGTCATAGAGAGCATGAAAGGTAGAGGAGAGATTGGAAGAATGGAGTCAGACACAATTCATGGTACATGCTCACCTCAGCCCAGCTTGGTGGTCCTTGTGGGGGGAGCCCGGCTATGAGAGCAGGAGAGAGCCTCGGGCCCAAGAGCAGGAGAGCCCCAACTTTATTGCTATCCAAGGGTTATCTCTCCTTCCGGAGGCATGGTTACAGGTAACCACACATCACAGAAAGGGGCAGTACAATAGGCATACACATCGCAGGAAGGGGATATATGATAGGCATAAGTGTGACAGGAAGGGGATGAGCTAGGGGTGTGCCCATAGGAATGGGAAGGTCTAGGGGTATACATGTGACAAGATGGGTGGACCCTAGATTCATGATGGCAGCCTAACCTTGGTCATCCTTGGGTGGGTTTGACCACTCTGGTGACTCCTACAAGGAAACAGACAACTACTATCCTTATCAGAAGGGAGTGGGCCCTACTTGTGGGATAAAGAGTGGTGTCTGCTTGGTCTAGATGGCTGTTAGCTCTTAGGGAGAATGACCTCTGATCTACTCCTGATGACCTCCAAGTGTATAGTCATTCGCAAGCAGCTAAGTTTGGCATATATTTGGGGGAGACAACTTGGGAGAAATCCTTCTGTTTCCCACACCCTAATTTTTGCCTGTGCTAACCCTGTACATTGGTCAAAGGCCATCATTCGAACAGAACAAGAGAACACCAAATAGTTGTACAATCAGGACGAGCGTGTGTCAGGGTTGTATCCTTTCATCATGTTTACTCACTCTATCTCTGAACAAGTAATTGGAGAAGCTGGGCTGTATGAAGAACACAGCATCAGGATTGGAGAAAGCCTCATTAACAACCTGTGGTCTGCAGCTGACAAAACCTTGCTTACAGAAAGCCAAAAAGTCTTGAATCACTTACTGATGAATGAAGATCAAAGACTGCAGTCTTCAGCGTGACTCACACCTCATTGTAAAGAACACAAACGTCCTCACAGCTGCACCAACAGGCAGCGCCTTGATAACTGGAGAAAAGATGGAAGTTGGCAAGGCTTATATTTTACTTGGATTCACAATCAATGCCCATGGAAGCTGCAGTCACAAAATCAAATAGCATCTTGCATTGGTCAAATCTCTCTCACAAGACCTCTTTAACGTGCTTTTAAAGAGCAGCGATGGCACTTTGAGGACTAAGTTGCAGGCCGTGGGAAAGCTGGACACGAATTTGAAGACCAAAGAAAAACTTAGGCCTCTTAATTATGATCTTGGCAAATAATAGTGAATATATTATGGCTTCCAGAAGAACAAACAAATCCGTCTTTGAACAATATATAAAAAATGGCCCTTAGATGCTAGAATGTGAGACTTTGTCTCACGTACTTTGGATATGTTGAAAGGAGGGGCCAGTCCCTGAAAAAGGACATCATACTTGACAGAGTAGAAGGGCAGCGGGAGTGAAGCCCTCAAGGAGAGGGGTTGACACAGTGGCTGCAACGATGGGCTCAAACACAGCGATTGTGAGAGTGGGGCGGGACCGGGCAGTGCTTTGTTCTCCTGAATCTCGGCTTGCTCTGAATCTGCCCAGGCTCAACCTAACAGCGACATGTGTGCAGAGATGGGGTGATGGTAAGAGATTCGGATAGCTCTCCCTCTCTTTTGGTAGTTCTTTTTGATTGTGTACATTGCGTGTGAAATAGGAAACAAATTCACCAGTTCAGGTGATGAAGGATCAGTTGTAAATTTGAGCAGACAAGGAAGGAGTGAAAAGGTCGTCCAAAGAGAGGAAGCATAACTGGGTAGAGAAATGTAGTCTTTGGGTCTCACAACAGCAAGAGTTCACTTAGAATTTATGATACAAAAGTAGAGAGCCCAACCAGTGCTACTGTGTTCTTCCCGAGACAGACTCAGCTGACTGTGTGAAAGTATCCAGTAGAGAGTTTAAGAATTGAATTTAATGAAAATCATGAGCTTTCTAAGTATGGAAGGATGAAGTGGAAGAGTGACAAGAGAGTTGATAGTACCGGTAGTCCTGCCTTGTGACATATTTGAACTATGACAAACCACACTTACAACTGCCCCCCCTCTTTGGGGTATATTGTGTTAGTAGTAATATGTACTGCTCAGTGTTGCAGCACATAATTTGCTTAAGTTA